AAAAGCTCCATAACATGGATGCAGAGAAAAGCTGATGGTATACAGCCTGAAAACTAGTGATGGTGAAGTGAAGCGTTCTGAACCAGTGAAGCTTTCATCACAATTGTATCGGGAAAAGGTTCATTACTCGAAGCTTTTTAAAACGGTTTATGCTGTGGCCATCTAGTGGTCATAAAAATAAATAACACCTTCCAAAGTGTTATGTTCCATTACAGCCAGTGGTTTCACATCTGGTTCTACAACTGATTTTTAGTTTTATTATATTTTATATAAATAATGTTTATTTATTGTCAAAGTCATTCATTTGTGTCGGTGTACTGGCACTAAAATAAGTAAAATAATTAACATAAATTCATAAATTAAATCTATGATCTGTTTATTTTAACTCTGCCTCAGTCCTTTCAGTCCTTGGATTGAGGCAAAGTTCATTTTTGTGCTCAATATATAAATTACGATTAAAAAATAAATCGGGAAAAGGTTCATTACTCGAAGCTTTTTAAAACGGTTTATGCTGTGGCCATCTAGTGGTCATAAAAATAAATAACACCTTCCAAAGTGTTATGTTCCATTACAGCCAGTGGTTTCACATCTGGTTCTACAACTGATTTTTAGTTTTATTATATTTTATATAAATAATGTTTATTTATTGTCAAAGTCATTCATTTGTGTCGGTGTACTGGCACTAAAATAAGTAAAATAATTAACATAAATTCATAAATTAAATCTATGATCTGTTTATTTTAACTCTGCCTCAGTCCTTAGACTGATATTTCATGGCCAAAGTTTTTTTTTAGCTCAATATATAAATTACGATAAAAAAAACAATGCTAACCCATTATAATGTAATATAATAATGTAAAGGAAATGGCACTGAGGTTCGCTTCGTTTGAACCAGAAACTGAAGCAGTTCCGTGGTTTTCAGGCGAATGAAGCTTCGGACATCATAGATCACGCGCTTTTCTCAAAACTAATCAAGCTCCGATACAGTGGGTGCTTCTCAATATCCCTCCTCTTTCCTCGCTCCTCCATCCTATGACCCGGAAACTGATCGAGCTCAGCCATCTTGTAGGACATCTCAATTCTCTAATTGCACCGCGAGGATCGAGGAGTGAGGAGGCTTCCTGAGGAGCTATGAGTGAGGATACACAGGTGTATCCTTTGCGGAAGTGTTTTTCATCGAAACACCTGACGCACGTATAAATTCTCCTTCCCTTTCACCAGGGCCGGCCCAAGCCTTTATGGGGCCCTAATCAGAATTTTATTTGGGGGCCCCTCGGTGCTGCCAATACGATTGATTATTGTCAATGCTTGATTATTCGCACACTATAAATCTAACTCTCCCATTATCAGTTTTATTTGTTGTAGCTGTGTTGCTTACATCATACCAATGTTTTTACCCTTCTACGATTTTAACTGTAACAGTAGCAAACCCATGTGGTCAGGAGTTAATTTGCACTTTAACTTTCAAAGTCTTACAGTACTAAGAGGCCTACTTAATGTGGTGTACTGAAAAGTAGCTAAATAAACCAGCAGACAATGCATTTACAGAACAGAATATTGTTTTAACAACATAAATGATCATACACAGCAGCAAGCCATCTGTACATAAAAAAACAACAACTCTTAATCTATAACTAGTTAATTGAGGCATAATGATATAGGAATATAATAGCAAAGACCCCCAAAGGTAGGCTAAGGTAAATAATGTTAAGTGGTTATAAGTACCAAGTTTATGAAACAAAATAGTTTTATTACAAAAATATCTACCCAGGAAAGTAATTTTTACACAGAAGACAAAAACTTTTATCTAAAACTAGCTAAAGTAAAATGTTATATTATAATATATCAGGGTTGCTAACATTGGTTGCCTGGCTGGAGTGAATATATATATATATATATATATATATAGAGGAGGCTTCCTGAGGAGCTATGAGTGAGGATACACAGGTGTATCCTTTGCGGAAGTGTTTTTCATCGAAACACCTGACGCACGTATAAATTCTCCTTCCCTTTCACCAGGGCCGGC